TACCTCCTCATCCAAAGTCCCCAGTTGCTCTCTTTGGTCCAGATCACCTAGCTCTTCAGTTAGTTTATTTTTGTCTTCCACAAACTTTTTAAACTCCTCTTTACCCCACACTTTTAGCTTCCCTTTTAAGTGTTTTAACTTCTGCTGAAACCTAAATCCTGCCCAGCCATCCACTTTGCACTCCTTCCACCATTCAGAAACTTTTTGTTGGAACTCCTTGTGAGTAGTCCACACCTTTTCCAGCTTGAACGATGCCTTTCCTTTCCTAAATACTTCATTCTGTAGAATTACCAGCCAATGATCAAATGTCCAGCGGGGCTTAATAGACTGCACACAGTTGTGGTATAGTTCCTCCCAGTCATTGGATTTGAGAAATCTATTCAGTCTGCTGCTTACTGCACACTCCCGCATATTAGACCAGGTAAAGGAGTCGTTGCTAATAGGGAGGTCTTTAAGATTGTGTCTAGCAATAAAGTTCAATAACTCCTTCATGCTTCTTGTTACTCTCCTACAGTTAGAGCTCTCACTGCAATACTTCGTGACATTAAAGTCGCCACCAACACACCAAGGCAGGTCCTCTGATTCATAAAAAGAATCTAGTTCCTCCCATATTCTTCCCCTCTCTGATGGAGAATTAAGCCCATACACATTTGTCAGAATCCAATTGCTCCCATCGGAAATGTTTGTGAACAGGATAGAATGCTTTAATTAACTTTCTGTTAATTCCACCCGTTGCTGGGAGATTTGCCCATTTTCTTCCTCTGATTACCCAAATTGCTTTAATTAACTTTCTGTTAATGACTTCTTTCTTTGTTTCTTGTAAAATTACTATGTCTGGGTTTTCCTTCTTTAGGGTATCCTTAACCAAGGTTCTCTTCATAACCCTCCCAGCCCCCTTACGTTCCAAGTCAAGATCTTCATGGTTTGTGTACAACTGCCTTTCCCTTACTTAACCTTTTATCAATACTGCTTTCAGGTCCTACTCCCTAGTTGACAAAACCCCATTGAAGTCTTTTGAGCTCTGTTTGTCCCTTTCTTCCCTCCTACTTCCAATTTCTTTCCTTTACTACTTCCCTTTATTTCTCTCTGTTGCTTCGAGCCTGGCCCACTGTTCTTTTTGTTGTTGATTATCTTGCAACTCTTCACAAATTGAGTGGCTCCTTGACCGCAGACTTGCCAACGGTTTGGATAGAATGCCACCTTAACCTGAAAAACAGGAAACAAGGGGATTGGAGTAAGGCTCAAAGGTAGAGAAACCAGGAGAAGAAATAGTTAAAGTGTGACAAACTAAGGGGTCAACCGGAGAGCTTGGAAGGGTATTTGCCGCAAGTTCCAGCTTTCCTCCTTTCTCTCGGTGTTTGTCTTCAGATTGACCATAATCTGGATTAACTAGCTGCATTGGCTTCAAAATGTTCACACTTTTCCAATTTCCTCTGTTCTCGAACAATACTTGAACTCTTTCTACCTCCTGACCGTTGACATCTGCTTCGGATTCATACGAACTCAACTCTGAATCAGTCACCACCTCCAACTCTCACCTCTTCGAACTTGAGCTCCCTGAAGTTAATGGTGTGGGAGGGCGATTAACCCCCCTAACTTCTTCTCTGCTAGAGAGAGGTGTTTCAGGAAAGCCTTCTCCAGAAAATAGACGGGTAGCAGGGGACTGTCAATCTCGTCAACTTGAACAAAATGGGCTTTTGTCTTTATTCGGCCCAAACTCTCAGGCCTGTCAGGAACGAGAAAAGAGGGTCGGGTCTCCCTCTCGGTTCGGGTTTTGTTGGGATTGCCCGTCTGCTTCCAGCTTTCTCCTTCTCCTTGAACAGCTTTTTGCTTAAAATTTAAATTTTGAGTGGACTTTCCTTTTCTTCCCCAAGCTTCCTACACATTACCACCAAACTTCCTAAAACAGTTACTGCGCTTGGCCTTGCTTCTTCCCAATGTAATCTCTCTGTTGCAGGTGCACCCCACGCAAGTTCACCTGGTTAGTAGTTGGCGATGTGACTCTCCCTGACTTGCCACATGTGCTAGGCTTGGGTTGGTGAGTTGACTCAGTTTTTTCCTCCCCAGGGTGGATCTTCTTCCTTTCGACCTCGATTGAACAGTGGAACCAAACTTCTCTGTCGAGAATGGGAACTACTCAAGGTATCGTGAACACTCCTCTCCCTTTCACCCCTATTCCCGGCAAACCAAAGCTCCTGGATCTCTCATTTGATTGTCAATAACCTCCAGTCCCCCACAGAGATTTCCTATTAGGATAAACATCTCCACTGTCCACAGATGAAAGGGGAGGTCGTGTATCACTATCCAACCATCAAAACTCAGATTTGCAAGGTTTTCATTCACTTTCGGCCACCACTGATCCATCAACACCTTCTTCCCATACACAAACACTGATTCCAACCTCACTCACTTGCTGAGTGTCTCCTCCGACGGGGCAACCCCACCACCTTGTTTGTTTCAAAGGGTTTCAGAGTTAACAGCGTCAGAAAATGTTGGTTCGCTGAGATGCCCAGTTCCACGTCTCTCCAACTTACATCTTCTGGCTTGGTGCAAACGAAGGCTGCCTTCCAATTTCCAAACAGACCAAGTCTATGGACCACAGATATGAAAGCTCTTCCTCCAACCATCGTCACTCTGCTTCTTCCATTCTCTAAGCCTAGAAATTCCTCTGTCAAAAGGGGAGACATCACTCTGCTTCTTCCTTTCTCTAAGCCTAGAAATTTCTCTGCCAAAAGGGGAGAACAACATCTGGTCTTTCCTTTCTGGCAAGAAACGAACTCAGTTTTTGATATTGTTTCTCACCCTAAAGTGTTAGCTTCTTCTGGAATACAAATGTTTCTTGTTCTTCTCGCTCCTTCCCAAAGGCTTAACCTTATATATCTTCCCCATCTAATTTCAGCAACTGAAAATGAGGTTATCCTTCCCCTATCCGCTCGTCTTAACAGTTCAAAAAGTCTATTGAGGTTTTCTAGTAATTTTTCCAAAGCACCTACAATCCAGCTTACCTCATCTTCTTTAAGAACAATTCTGGACCATGCCCCTCTTCCCCTCTCTGTAATCACCAACACCCCATCCCCAAGAGATCGGCTTGTATCAAGTTCGAATGTTTTGGAGCCAATGGCAATACACCTCCTTTGACCTTTTAACACCATTTGGAACCAATGCCAGAACAGACTATCCTTGCAACAGTGGACACCATCCCAGAGGTCTCCCAAGATCATGCCCCTCTTACTTTAGTTGACTTTATGCTTCAATGGACACAGGTTGTCATTTAAGAACCACCCCACCAAGACTTCAGAGTCCCCCTTTACAATTAGTGTTCAAATTATGTCTTATGTTTTTTTTTTTTTAGTTTTAGTTATTAGGGGCAGTCTTTATTTTCTGTTTTGTTTTAATGGGCTTATGTTTCTGTTTTGGTGAATGTATGCTGAGAGGCACTAAACTGGTCATTTAAATTGTATTTTATTTTTCTAATATAACTAGAAAATTGGAGTCAGGTGTGGAGAATAGTTTATTCTCTTCTTTCTTTCTTCTCTATAATTTTATGTTTTCTTTCTCGTATTAATGACAAATAGCAGGAGTGCAGGACACAGATTTTCACATTCATCCATGTCAATTATCTTCAAGGATGCTTCCCAACAAAAGACTTTTGATTTTGGAGGATTAGGGCCAATCCATGGAACTTTGTCGAAAGGTTGAATGAAGGGGGCGGAGACGCATCAAGGGTCTTAAAAAGGAAAGCACAATAAAACAATCAAAGTATTGGAAGACTGAATTCACTGCTTATCACCACCGGAAGAAAGAGAAATGTAATTTAAAAACTCATTCAAAAGGCAAATGACAACAAATTCAATACTTTCTTTCATGATCCCTAAAACTCAAGTCCCAAGATATGCTGCAAACAAGGAAGCCATGTCGAATAGTGGTTTATTTTTGTGCAAAGCGGAGTAAAATCTGGAAAACTGAGGCAAAGAGGTTACTGACCTACCCAATCCAATACAATTATCTTCCAGAAATCTAATTTTGTTACCAGAAACAGCATCACACCCAGTTCTCAAGAAGGTAGGATAAATTGGCTCAATTGCTTCTTGTCATCCTGTGAACAGCAACAGGTGACTCTGCCAGCAGATCATAAGCCCCAGCCAATTGTGATGCAAGCCATGCTTGTTGCAGATGACTGAATGCCAAAGGGAATCGGTTTCTTTCCAAAAAAATTCATATACCCAATACAGCACCGCTTTTATCTTTAATTCTCTCAATTATGCAATCCCCCATCAGACAGACTTATTGGTTATTTTTCCCCTTTATATTAGCTAGTGTTTCGTATATTTTGGGATATATGTTGAGGCTGTTGTGAGTGATGAGCCAGCCTATGGTTTTTTTATTCTATTTTAATATCTCTTGTTTGCATTTCCTCTTCCACTTCTCCAAAGTAATAAGATCTCTCTTGAGATTGTTGCAGATAAAAATAAATGATGCTGATGCAGAAAACTAAAATATAACCAGTGAAGTAGAATATAATGCATGCAGACAAACTTTACCAAGCCAAGAGAATTCCCAATATGTATGGCACAATTGAACATTTCAAAAACCTAATCCTGATACATGTCAGAAAAAAAATACGGAATAGAAGAGAATTGAAAGCAATTGAACAAGATCCCACAGGCACAGCATATACCATGTAATAAAGTAAAAACAGAACTCAAGAGAGAAGTAAAACGAAATCTTATACACCAACGGAGAAACACGGAGAAAAACAAAACTACTTAACCAACTATATTACAGCAATCCACCACCTTAACTGTTAAAGAATTTATAAAAAAGATACTCTCCAAGTAAATCATAAGAAATAATCTTACATTTAATACATACCTTTCAGAATCCACTCTATCTGAAAATCCATATAGAGGACTGTTTGGTTCAAGGGGTGAATCACAGGAGTCATTCTCTGCAGAATCACTCTCCCCTGCAGCAGAAACATGGGACATGACGATTGCCTTGGTTGAACATGGTATTAGTTGCCCTGGAAACCGCATAAGATCAACTAGCAGTTCCACTGAGTTCAACACAACTATGACTGACATATGCTTACATGAGTCTGCATGCTCAATAGCACCATCACTGGGTAGACCCTGACAAAAGAACAGGGAAGTATGTCCCTTGAGAAACAATAGTTACCAATGAAATATAACTGGAAAATATCTTTCCCAATGCGACAACTGGAAGCAACAGTAGAAAATAAATTCAAGAGGTGTATACAAGAATCTAGATAAATCGAGTGATTTATTCCAACATATGAAGGAAGATCTTACCACAACAAGCCTACTCTCAAGACCTACAGTATCTGCAAGAACTTTAAATAGGATTGCACGAGGTCGACATGAACCATGCCTTATTTGTCCCAACAGCTGGACACCTCGATTCTCTGAGACATGAGAGATGTCCTCAATTGCAGCTTTCGCTGGACTTAGTTCTGAATTTGGTCGTTTATAAAAATCAGAAACCTACAAAAGGACAATTGAACCATGGAAGTAAACAAATGTGAACCACATGTACAAATTCCTTGTAATGAAAACAGAGTCACAGACCCAGTTCTGGGTCTTCTTTCACATGAAAACAGATAAAAGAAAATTGTTTATGGAATAAATACACATGAAGTTTCTGTGCCTCGAATTTATTGAATATGAAGAATGAAGAGGCAATGAATTTTTATGGAATTTTGTTACTTTCCCTCAGATAAAGAAAAAGCACTTCCTTGCAGGGATAAATTACCTCCTAAATGTGAACTTTAAAAAAGAACCATATTTCATTTAAACATTCAACATAAGTATTCTCCGAGGATAAAAATTAAAACTGATTTTCAGGAGAAAAAGAAAAGCAAAGAAAATATTTTTGAATATCACTTTTTTTCTCAAAAAGAAACATTTTTGAATATCATTTTGGTTCAAAGGATCCATATACACACATACCTAACCTTAGTTCTACCTGCACATCTATAAGCCCAAAATGTATCATAAATCGTAGAGAAAATTGAACCGAATAGAATCATGAATCGTACCGTAAATCGTAAGGTTATTTCTATTTTTTAAAATTTTGTAAAAAAATAAAATATTAGTTATGCTAAAAGGCAAAATATATATAGAAAAGTGATTCTACCCTATTTTTTAATCCATATCTACCATGTATGTACCTAAATCAATAGAATTTACCACTTATACAATAGAAGTCTAAGATGATATAATCAAGTTTGACTTGAAAGTCAAATACTCTACATACAACGACTCTATCTTATATATGATGGAAAATAAACTCAAAATATTGTTTAAATAATGTAAATAAGTCAATTTTTAATAAGGTCTTTATAACAAGTCACCTTTGACAAAACTAAATATTAAAAAAAATAAAATGACAAAGTATAGAACTAATTCTTAATTGAATTGATTTGAATGAATCATATAAATCGTAAGATTTATGATTCAAATTGTAGGATTCAAACAATAACCGTAAGATTTTTGCAGAAAAGGATTTGGACATAAGATTCAAATCAGAACCCTTGGGATTCATGATTCGAGTCGTGAACTGTATCATTAATCGTAAGATTTTAACAACATTGACGCCAATATAAAAGGAGAAATAATTTCTTTTGCCACCACTAAGATGTCAGTGCACCCTGCCTAGTTGAGTGCACAAGTGATTCCCCTCTCTCTTTGATATAGCCCAAGATAGAGATGTGTTAAAGTGAGCAGAATAGGGGTAGTTTAGTCATCTTATGTTTGTTAAGTGGTTTGCTTATGTGGCAGTTTTATTAGAGACACTCTGCCCCACACTCAAGTAAGGGCAGTTTAGTCTTTGTAAATGTCATTAGAATCTAATAACTATTAAGGGGGTCGACTGAATGGGATGACCATCAGATTTTGACAGACCCTTCTTTTCCTTCTTCTTCTCTTCTTCTTCCTTCTCTTCCTGGTTCGGGTTACTGTAGCAGCATTCGAAACATGGTATCAGAGCCATGTTCCTGACCTAGTTCAGTTCGAAAAGCATCTCAGCAGTGTTCATCCTAGGTCTGAAACATCACAGCTCATCTCTCTCTGCTGCGCATAATCTTCATCAAGAAAAGTGACTTCAGCAGTGAATGGTTGGTTGAGACTCTAGGTCAGTTATCTCTTCTTCTTGTGTTGCTAGTATTTCTGAGTAGATACCCTTCAAGAATCTGTTAGTACTGATCAGAACCTAGAGAACTAGGTTCGTTGTTTCCCTAGAACGGGCTGTGTGTACAATAGCCGAATGGTGTAGGGGC